AGGTCTTTGGGTACATAGCAAACAAAGAGGACCCGGGGAGCCCCGGATTCTCATGAATCTGAGAGGAGCCGAGCCCTCAAGAAAAGCACACACCATAGATGTAAATAGGTATCAAAAACTACCCCGGCGGCTTACAGCCGGAGGGGCAGTTCCCGCATAGCCATGGATTAAGATTGGCTGGGACGGGTATGAGTTAATCCGAATCCGAATCCGAATCCGAATCCGATATATGGCCAGCGTTCGCCACATATAGATAGATAAGCACTCATCAAGCACTCAAGCACCCGTGTACTCTAGGCTACATTAGATAGAGTATATCAATAGTTCGTTTCAATTAGGTCTTCTACATATAGGCCTCGTGCAGTCGGATGATCGACTCCTCCGGTTTCCCCTGAGCCTCCGACGGAACCCATTTTATGGACCATTCGATTGTCCGAGTCGATTATCGCGCTGGCGCCTGGTCTTTTGTGGAAGACAGACCACGGACCGATCAAGGTAGCAACCGTGTGCAAGTGTCAATAACTCTTTCCACTCATGCTGCCATCAAAATCCCCAATAGTGGCTTCCTCTACCTAGTCGTTGGACAGAATGCGCAGACCAACGTTAAAGCTCTTGCTCTGTCTGAGCAGCATGCATCGACGATCTCCACGCCAGAAAGCTGGCACCGGGAACTCCTGAGCACTGGCATTGCCAGTCTTGGCGATGCAGCCCTTCTACACACTGCCACTTATGCCATATTGGCACTGTCACTTCTTAACCAGACCGTTCCTGGCACGGCACTTTTCGTCCACGAGACAAATAAGGCTCTTCAACGGGCTATTAAGATTTAGGCTGGTGCACGTGGTGTATGGCCGTATTTCACTACCAGCATCAAATCGGAAGCAACAAAGGAACAAGAAGCCCACTTCCTCCACCGGTGGGTTTCGAACCGTTCGCTAGCTGAGTTGGTCCCCAGTGGCGTGTCTGCAATAGCCAGCTTGAGTAATGAGAGTAACGGCGTCTTTTTGCGTGTAAAGGCGCTTTTCCCAGATGCTGTGTGCGCTGATACCAGTACCCTCAACCGACCATTTGCTCTTCTGCCTCAGCAAGGTGAAGTGCGTACAAATCTGCAGATCGCGAATGGTATTATCTCGCAGCTGACAGACAGCTCCAATGAGCCTATTAATACCATCCGCATCGAAGCAGTTCCAAAGACTCCAATTGATGTATTAACAGGCCTGCAAATCATCGATTGGACAGACACATGGAAGCTACCCGTGTCTGTTCAGTTGGCCTTTTCACAGATAGGTCTGTCGGCTCAAAAAAACCTATCTTCTTATAGGAATGGCAATTGATATAGGATAGTCAGTTGTGCAATAGATCATCAGTCGTGGTGCACGCAAAGTGGTGTTGGCGAGTCGAACGCCCAAGGTTGAGCCATCCTGGTTCTGAAATGAGGAAATTGGGGGCACGAGTGGTTGTTATGGCTATGTAAACCAATTTCAGTTCCAACAAATTAGAAAAGGCTAGCATTCCAGGGATATAATCGGCCGCGACTCCATCCTCCTCATTGACCGTGAATTACGTCGACTTCCCCCCATCGGAGGCGTGGTAAACGGTGCCATGGTCTTAACCGACAATCTCTTTTCCGAACTCACCCTAGATGACATCCACGCCACATTCAAACCAAGGTTGAGGGAAGTCTCCTTCTAGATAAACTCTACAACGACTCCAACCTCGACTTCTTCATTCTCTTCGGCTCCCTAGTCGGCACCATTGGCAACTGGAGCAAGTTCGCCTACTCCGCCGCAACCAACTTCCAAACCAGTCTCGTACACGGCCGGCGCCAGCGCAATCAGGTCGGGACTGCTATCTGTCCGGGCGCAGTAGAGGAGTAGATATGTCTCAAGGCATGGTCGCGCACTCTCAGAACACATGAGCAACATGCTGGGATCACACGTTGTCTCGGAGTGGAATCTGCATGAAGTCTTCGCGGAGGCAATTTTGGCAGGTCCGCCAGATTCAGGCCGAAATCCGGAGATCATCGCTGGTATGCCCACGGCAAACCCTGTAGATCAGCCGAATGTCCTCTGGTACACAAACCCTAAGGAATGGGACTTTGTCCAGTATCACGCCTCCATGTCAAGCCAGACAGTCAGTGTTGCAGTTGTCCCGTTAAGATTACAACTCGAACCCGCGCAGAATGTGACGGAAACAACTTCCATTGTCATGGAGAGCTTCATGCTCAAGCTGCATACAAAATCGCATCTGCCACGAGATAGGACCATTGACCCAAGTACGCATCTGGCTGAGCTCGGAGTGGACTCGATAGTGTCCCTGTATAAGTGGTCCACTTGATACATGGTAGATACAAGATAGAATTGAAGAGAAATGAAAATAATGACAATAATGATATAATGCTGGTGGTATATGAAAGTAGAATGAAAGAGTGAGAATCGAGGATGGAAAGATGTGGGAGAGGCTAAGCCAAAAGAAGAAGGCGGCTGGTATCGTAGCCCCAATTAATCACGAAACAATAAGCCATGGATCAACCACATTACTTTTCTGCATAACTGCGCCATTCCCAGTCCTATTCTTCCCACCACTACTCTTTTCACCATTCTCATCGCGACAAAGATATTCTTCATATGACATCCGATTCCGATTCAAGTATTCCTCCAGAGTCATCGTGCCACGATCATAGCTTGTCTCTCGAAAGACGAGCGAGTTGTCATGACTTGCCAGCTCGCGTGCCTCCGGGTATATTGCTGATTCACGTCGAGGTTTGGTTTGCTTTCGTTTCTTCTGAGATATTTGTCTGTCAAATTGACACGTTAGATTAGACACTTTAGATTAGACATGTTACTTGACTAAGTATCACTCACTCAACATAATCCTCCACCCATACCTTCCGAGCAGACGGCACAGAAGAAATACTACGCGTCTGTTCGCTCAAGCCCTGAGGTCCCCGAGCCTCGCCCGAACTCCCATTCGCCATCCTACCTCCAAGCTCCAACGGATAACCCTTACTCCCACTCGGCCAAAAACACACCTCACTCTTCATACTCTGCTTCCTAACCCCCTGCATCACAAAAAATGGCCACGAAGCCACACCATCTGTCTTCACTCGTTTCTTCTCAACCGGAACCGGAATCCTACCACCCTCCTCGCCTTTCTCCGGATTGACAAGACCAGGCGTAACACCACGGGTAGTATTCAACCCCAAATTCACCCCCCTCTTATGCACCACTCTCGCAACCTCATTAATTGATACCTGCGACTTCCAGTCCGCGACATGGAACAGCCTCCGGAATTCCTCGCGGCGCAGCTCAATCTCCAACGAGCTCACTTCGCCCCGGAACCTAGGGTTAATGCGGTCGAGAATATCCTGCGCCTCGATACGGCGGTCAAGTCGGAACCAGGCTTCGAGACGCCAGCCTTCGACTTTGGAGGAGATGCGGGAGGGGAGGACGGGGAAGTCGCGGATATGTTTGTTGAAGATCTTGTAGGGTGTTTCGCGAACACGCGCGCGGGACTTGATGTATTGGGTTCCTGGGCGGAGAGCGTAGAGGACGGATGGGAGGTTGTCGATGGACCAGTGGGTTTGGTCGGGATGGGGGGATGTGATGTCTGAGGCTGTCCTGTCAGGCTGGGAGTGATTCTCCGACATGATGGTCAGTGTCGTAGCGACGGTGGGGTGTATGGCTGCTAACCTGCACCTGCTGCTTGTTTGCGACAAGTTGCGATTGATGTTTGGTCATTTTGACAAGTCTGCAAACGTACACTACCCAAGCATATTCAAGCGGGATGGAAGAGAAACAAAGTAACAGAGGTTGGTTGTCCAATTTTCATTCACTCCAGACCCCAGTTACTCTGCATCTTGCTCAACGTTATCCACAATACTAACTCTCTATTAGGCAGATATAATATAATTTCATTCACTGTAGATAATACTACTGCATTATCAAGTACCATACCCCATACTAACCGCAGCCCTATGCATAACATGCATAACTAGCATAACTAACCCGCGCGGCACAGTTCCTTTGTATACACCCAACGCTCCCAGAAACACCACATATCAAACACCTCGAAAGCAAACAAAAAAAGATGCTACGCCTCCTTCAACAACCCCCCAAATCCAAATCCAAACTCATCCCTCTCTACACCCTCTACCTCCCCTGCCACACCAAACCCAGCGCCCGCCGCCCATTCCCATCCAGCGCCAGCGGAATGATCACCGGCGTGCGCGACGGTGACAAAGTCGACGTAAGCGTTTCCGCGCCTGCAAGAGATGGCGAGGCGAATACTGCTGTCATGAGGGTTTTTGCTAAGGTTAATTCCCCTCCCTCCCTTGTATATGTATGTTAGTTATTGGATGGGTGTTGATGAGGAAAAGGTATTCAATACGGCGCCATCGAATGTAGAGGTGATTCGCGGGGAGAAGAGCCGGGAAAAGGTGCTGAAGATTCAGGATTTGGTGTTGGATATTGGTGAAAGGGAGGTAGGAGAGAAGGAGCGGATAGAGGAGGGTTTACGGCTTGTTAGGGAGAGGTTGAGGGAGAATTGTTTGTAAATGTTGTAGCAGGTGTAGTAGGTATATGCGGTGGTATTTTTGATACGCGTGACATCACCGAAATTTTCATTCCTCAATATCTTCATCGTGAATCGCATCGCTTCCACTAGAACAGACAAATAAAAATGTCTACACAAGATACCCAACCAACTACACAACCACATCCACCCCTCGAACAAAAAACATCAAAACGAAAACCCTCCGACGCGCAACCACCAATCCACTTCACCGCGCGCGATCCCCCATGGACTTATCTCAAACTGCAATTGTACGTCCAGCCTATAAACAACCAGGTTGAATAATTATTAACTCGAAAGTAGAATATCTCAACCCCAACCGCAATCGCAAGGCAAAAATGATACCCCCCTCGACCCTCTCACTGCCCGCACATATCTCACTGCCGCCCTCGGCCAGTTCCTCGGTTTAATTGGGACTAGTATTTCGATTGATATTCTGAAAATTGCCTCCTCATCGCCCTCCTCGTCTACACCTACCTCTTCTCCCGAAAACATCGTCTGGATCCGCGTCCCCCGCGCCGACGCTGCGGCCGTCGTTGCGGCGCTGAGTTCGTGGATCGGTGGTACATCTGGAAATGGAGGTGTGGCGTGGAGGGTTTGCGCAAAGGGGAATTTTCTGGGTGCGCTTGTTGCGGGGGATGGGAGGGATTTATTCGTGCCGTGATGGTCGATGACAGATGATTCGGATATTATAATTTGAATGGATGAGTGGTGACGACGGTCAGGCGGAATCGCACACTACTTTAGACTGGTCTTATGGTTCGCAACAGTGAAGCATGACCGTATCTCATGGGTTCTCGACATGGGGCGCTCTGGTGTCAGAACGAGTCGATCAGCGCAATCGTGCCTCGAGGTATTGCCTCAGGGCATTCTCCAGTGTGAGGACTATTTGACATATGGACATACTCTTATGTCTAAGAGGAAATAAAGCCATAACGCCTAGCGCAAATTGCAGATCTATCTAATATCCAATTCTATTAACAAACTTCCAATCCAGACAAAAGAAACAATTCAAATGCTTTTGCAGTGTCAATCTGTTGTTACTGTTTCAAACAGTGAGTGATAAACGCCAAACTCTCTCGCTTAAAGATAGTACAGGCTGAATTCAGCCTAATGAACACTTTCGACCTTTTCCTCTTTCTTTTTTTTATTTTTTTCCTTTTTTTTTTCTTGTCTCTTATGGTTTTTTTTTTTTTTTTTTTTTTTTTTTTTTTTT